CGAAGGGGCAGAAGCCCCTCACGGCCCCTCTGATCACGCGCCACTTGCAGGAGGACAGACAAGGGTCTGCTGACCTTTGTGGACCACCTGCCCGTCACCCAGGTTGTGGTTGGAGACACCAACCGCTCCGGCTCTGAAGCCCAGTTCCTGCTGGGCCCCCTGCGGTGCTACGGAGACCGTGAGTAATGGGACCCATGGAGGGTCCCCTGCCTGCAGAGGGCCCATGCCTAGGGGAGTCCCATGCCTGTGGGGTCCCATGCCCGCGGAGGGTCCGTGCCCATCTCTCACTGCCTCTCCTGCTCCCCCCAGGCAACACCTGGAACACTGTCTCCTTCAACAGGGGCGCAGCCCTGCTCTTCCCCACCTTCCAGGCCAACCACAGCCTCGACATCTCCTTCTACTTCAAGACCACTGCCACATCTGGTGTCTTCCTAGAGAACCCTGGCTCCCGAAACTACATCCGTGTCGAGCTCAACAGTATGGGCAGGTGGGGGGGTGTGGGGGTATGGGAGGCGTCAGGGCCGAGGGCTCCTCCCGACACTGTGTCCTTGCAGCCACCAGGGATGTTGTGTTTGCCTATGACACTGGGAATGGGGACGAGAACCTGACGGTGCGGTCGGTGGTGCCCTGGAATGACGATGAGTGGCACCAGGTGAAGGCTGAGCTCAATGTCAAGCTGGCGCGGCTGCGGGTGGACAAGCTGCCTTGGGTGGTGCGGCCGGCCCCGCCGCAGAGTTTCGTCCGCCTGGACTTCGACAGGCCCCTCTATGTCGGTGAGAGCCCCCGGCCGCATCCCTGTGTCCCCAGGTCCCTGCATGCTGCAGGGCACTGAGTCTTGGCCCCGCTACAGGTGCAGCAGAGCACAAGATGCGCCCGTTCCTGGGGTGCCTGCGAGCGCTGCGGATGAACGGGGTGACGCTCAACCTGGAGGGCAAGGCCAACGAGACGGAGGGTGTGCGGGTCAACTGCACCGGCCACTGCCAGGACCCACCAGTGCCCTGCCAGAACAGTGGGCTCTGTGTTGAGCGCTACAGCCACTACAGCTGCAACTGCAGCATCTCTGCCTTTGACGGGCCCTTCTGCAACCACGGTGAGCGGCTGCAACCTTGCGCCTCCCCGGGGCCGGGATGGGGGAGAGGAGCCGGCGCTCCCGTCACCCTGTGACATCCCGTCGCATCCCGTCACCTCCTGCAGACATCGGTGGGTACTTTGAGGAGGGCACCTGGGTGCGGTACAACATCCTGCCGATGTCGCTGTACGCTGCCCGTGAGTTCGCCAGCATCGTCAGCAGCCCCTGGCAGCCCCTGCCTGGCTACAACCTCACCAGCGAGGAGGTCAGCTTCAGCTTCAGCACCACCTCGGCACCCGCTGTGCTGCTCTACGTCAGCTCCTTCGTTAAGGACTACATGGCCGTGCTCATCAAGGATGATGGTGCGGGCAGGGTTACCCACCCTAGGGCTCACCCAGAGCCTGTGGGGACCTCCCCCAGGTGCTGGGGCCACATGGGACCCTCATCCACCCTGATGCCAATCACCAGCCCTACAGAGGGGGTGGGCTTGCCTACCGAGAGCCCAGGCATCGCTGACGGCCCCACTCTGCCCACAGGGAGCCTGCAGCTGCGCTACCAGCTGGGTACCAGCCCCTACGTCTTCGCCCTCACCACCAAGCCGGTGACAGATGGGAGGCCCCACCGTGTCAACATCACCCGCATGCACCGCACGCTGTACACCCAGGTATGGGGCCGGGGCATCCTCCCCGCCAGGGCCTGGGGGGCTGCAGGGCTGGGAGGGGGCACAGCCAGGCTAGCAGGAGGCGGAGGAGGCTCAGCGGGTGCTGACACCTTGCGCCTGCCTCCCAGGTGGACTATCTCCCTGTCATGGAGCAGCAGTTCTCCCTGTTTGTGGACAGCAAGCTGGACTCGCCCAAAAACCTGTACCTGGGGCGTGTGATGGGTGAGCTGGGTCCTGCCCTCGGCCGCCCCCTTCCCTGCCGGGATCTCCAGGGTCTCCTCCCTCTGCCCAGCACAGTCCTTGCCCTCCGCGGGGGATGAGCCTTCTCCTGTGCTCCCACAGAGACCGGCGTGATCGACCCCGAGATCCAGCGCTACAACACGCCCGGCTTCTCAGGCTGCCTCTCGGGGGTAAAGTTTAACAGCCTTGTCCCCC